GTAAACCAAAACCCAATCCTTTTTTTATTTTTTTTGTTTTTTTTGGTATTTAAATTAGAATTAAAGTAAAAGGTGGGAAAAGGTAATCCCATTATTTTTGTGTGCGTTTGATGAATGGTTTTTTCAGGAGTAGAGAGTGTGATTGTTTTTTAAGTGGGGGTGGCCCAAAATTTTGGTGTGTTATATTAAAAAAAAAAATCAATATTATTTTTTTATTTTTCACACTCTTTTTTTTCTCACAACACTCACACAAACATCCAAATTCAGCTTAAATTATATTTATAATCATTAATATTAAAAAAAAAAAAATATTAATATTAAATATAATTATGTTGTTGTTGTTTTATTTTGTTTTTATTTAATTTAATTTAATTTAATTTAATTTTTAAAAAAAAAAGCATATATTTTTTTAATAAATTAAAATTTTATTTGATATTTGTTGTTCAATTTATATATCTTGTTATATTTATATCTATATTTATATCTATATCTATTTTTTTTTTTAATTAAATCATATATTAAACTATATATTAAAAATTTATATAAAATAAAAAAAAAAAATTAATTTTATATATTCAAATATTTCATCTCGTCATAGTCTTTTTTTTATTTATTTTTTTGGTCCCCCCTCTCCAATCAAATTTATAAAACTGTAAACATAAATATATTATATACAATCTCATAACTATCATTGGAGTATTGATTAAAAATATTTAATTATTTATATCTATTACTCTTTATTTTTATGTATTTATTTACTTGCTTTAATATAATTTAATTAATTGCAGATTTAAAATAATTCTGTAGAATTTTACTTTTTTTTTTAATTTTATTATTGTTTCTATTTTAAAATAATATCAATATTAATAAAAATTTAATAAAAACTCTCACACACACACTATTTTTTCTTTTGTTGTTTTGGTGATTTTAATCACAGGGTGTTTGATCATTAATTTTGAAAAAAAAATCTTTTTTTTTATTTTTTTATTGTTGTGTTTATTATTTTATTTTTTTTATCACTTTTTTTTTGGTGAGAATTTTTCAATAATTCATATATAAAAAAAAAACTTATTTTAAAATTATCAAATAAATTATTATAATTATTTATCAAAGGTTGTTCATTTTATTTTTTAATTTTTTTTTTAATTTTTAATTTTTTTTTTGTTTCTTTTTTTTTTTTTTTACAAATAAATATCAAAATAGTGTGTGTAAATTTAATATATTATATATATATATAAAACTGCATTAAAAAAATAGAAAAAAAAATAGAAAAATTTAAATTTTTTTTTATTTTTTATTTTTTTATTTTTTTTTTGTTTTTTTTCAAATTTTATTGGTTTTTTTCAAAAGTATTTTTTTTAACAATTAAAATTATTTTTGTGTATAATAAAACGAAAAATAAAACTTTATTTTTCGTTGTATAGTTTTTTTTTTTTTTTTTTGTTGTAATAATGTATATTTTAAAATTATAGTTTAATTATTTTTAAACCCCAAACAAAAAAAGAAAGATTTTTTTTAACATTTTTTTTTTTTTAACAAAAATTTTGGAAAAAATTAAGATTTTTTTTTTTTTTTTAAAAAAAAATTCTAAAGGTTTTTTTTATTTTATAAAAAATCAATCTTATATTTTTCTTCTCTTCTCTAAATTAATCAGAGTTAGTTGGGTACATTTAAATCATTTCAATTAAAATTATATCAATATACCACGTAACAATAATACAATTATACAATTACAATTTCAAAATCATAAACAAATATAAATAATAAACAAACAAATAGATAAAACGTAATATATATAAAAATGAATCAATTAGTACCACAATCTCAAAACCAAGGCTCAAGTGCACTTCCACCAAACATTAACCCAAAAACTAGAAAACCATATACAATTTCAAAACAAAGAGAAAATTGGACAGATGAAGAGCATCAAAAGTTTTTAGAAGCTTTAACATTATTTGATAGAGATTGGAAAAAAATTGAATCATTTGTCGGAACTAAAACGGTTATACAGGTAAATATAATATAATAAAATAAAATAAAATAAAATAAAATAAAATAAAAAAAAATATACTAATACTTTATATTATTAAAACTTTATAGATAAGAAGTCATGCACAAAAATATTTTATAAAGGTACAAAAAAACAATACAGGTGAAAGAATTCCACCACCAAGACCAAAAAGAAAATCAGTACAACCATATCCACAAAAGCAAAAACATGATTCAATGGGTAATTTTCTTCCAGAATCCTTGGCTGGTAACCAATTTATAAGTAGTACCTCATTTGCCAACTGGATGAGTTATAGAGGTTTAATGCCCACCTTATCCGATGCTCAAATTAATCCAAGTGATATTCAAAAACAATTAGAACAATTACAACAAGCCCAACAATATATTCAACAAGCCATGATCAACGCACAAAGCTCTACTCGTAGCGGTAATCCAACTCCAATCCTTACACCAAATTTCCCACGTATCTATACTTTTCTTTCAAATCTCTTTGAGAATAACAATTCAACATTTTCGGACTCTTTAACAGAATTATCACCAATTGACCGTGAAACCATGCAAATTCTTATGCACAATTTAGCAATTAATCTTGCCAACCAACAACACAGAGAAAACCATCAAAATTTATCCGAGCAATATAGAATGAAAAAGGATGAAGATGATGAATTAAATGGTCAACACAATGGCTTAAACTCACCTAGAGCCCCACCTTCAAGCGCCAACACTACTCCACCATTAACAAGCACAATGAATGTTTCTGGCGATTTCTATTCCGGTGATGGTGGTGCAAGCGAATTTGATCAAGCAAATACTGCTCATTTAAACACTTCCGCTTATCACTTTAACAACTCTAATAATAATGCCGCTCATAATATAAACTTGTTTTCTTTACAAAATCAACCTCCAATATCCCATGGTTTAAGTATGGGAGGAATGAATTTAAATATGAACAGTATGGGTTTAAATGGCTTAAATGGCTTAAATGGATTAAATAGTTTAAATGGTTTAGGAAATTTAAATAATAATTTAAATGCTTCAAAATCATATTTTTAAAATAACAACAACAATAATTTAAATTTATATAATCTTTTTTTTTTTTAAATATTTATAACTCAAATATCAAATATATATCAATAACAACTGCAACAACACAATAACAATAACAACAATAATAATAATAATAATAATAGGTGGTTCTTTTTTTATTTTTATTTTTTTAATCAATAATTAAATTAAAACATAGCAAAGTCAAAAAATTAAATATACAACAAAATTACATATATATTAACTTTTTCAAATCAAAACAAACCAAAAATCAAAACAAACAAAATCAAATAATGAATGATAAAAAAAAACATTTTCTTTTTTTTTTTTTTTATGACTAAAATAAAAACAAAAGAAAGTGTCAATATCAAATTCAAATTTTTTCAACAAATACAAAAAACAAACAACAAATTTTTTAAGTTAAAAAAGAATAATATAATTGTTTTTTATAGAAAAGAAAATAATTTTTAATAAAACCAAAAAATAAAAATAAAAGTCCTTTATTTGTAAATTAAAATTAAACAAAAAAAAAAAAAAAAAGTTTAAACATGTTTTATTAATATTTTTTTTTTTAAAATTATTTTCAATTTTATATATATAATTTATATATATAACACTAAATTTTTTAAATATCGTTTTATTTTTTTAATTATGAATTTAAATCAAAGCCATCTAATGGTGGGTTAGGGTTGTTCAAAATATTGTTACCATTAATGTTGTTACTATTACTTGAACAATCATTTAAATAGTTTAGAATATGTTCTAATAATAAATAATCACCACTTCTTGGCAATGGTTGTTGCTTTTGGTTTGAAAATCTCATTGATGATTGTGGTGAATGATTTGGAGTTGCTAAAGGTGTTATGATTGGAGTTGCAAGGGAGGGTGGAATTGGGATTGATGATGATGGTATATTGTTGCTGAATAAATTGAATGAGGGTGGAATTGGTTGTTTCAAAGTTGAATAAAACTTTAGAGTTTCGTTTAATATCATTGCTTTACTAAAAAGTTCTCTTATTTTATCTTCTAAAAACATTATACAGTTTTCGGGTGGCATGCCAATTGTATAAAAGTAAACAATGGATGATAAAGCTGTGGAGATGTACTCAGATGAAAAGCCACTTAAAACTTTAATATCTGGATATGTAACACCATTACTAAAATAAAATATAAAAGAAAGTAAATTATTAATAAAAGTTATTATTATTATTGTCGGTATTATATTATTTACTTACATTTGAACAGGATTTATTGAATCCCAAAGATTTTCTTTACTACAGGTAATGATATCGCATTTACATCTTGAAACATCAGCAATAATTGCATTTGACTCTTTAATTGGTGAAGGAAAGGGGTGGTGATCGACCCATAGTCTAAGATCATCAATTAGTTTTGGATAGAAATCATCTTTTTGTAAAGCTATTATTGAAAAGTCATTGACATATTTTGGAGAAATACCACCAGTTAATGATCTTGATAGGTCGAAAAAGTAATTTGGTAGTTTTAAATTTGCTGAACCCATGCTATAATCTATGTATTGAAATTTGGTGGATTCCAATAATGATTCGTTGAAATGATCTTTGGCCATTTTACTGGTATTTGCTTTAATATGTGAAGGGTGTTGTTGGTGTTGGGGTGGTAGGTTCCCATGTTGTCCTGAGCTATTCTGATTTAGGTTTGATTGCTGTTGGTTTTGTTGCTGATTATCTAATAAATTTAAATTATATTCATTTTCTTGGTATAATCCTAAATGGCTTGTTTGTGGGTCTAATAGATTCTTATTTAAAATTAATTCGAAAATACGCCAAAAATAGCTGACAACATTTAAAAGTTTCTTTGAGACTTCATCTTTGGTAGATAAAATAATAAGTTTGCTAAGTTTATAGTTTCCTCGATTGTTTTTACAATTTACGCACCCAGTGTAACCATAGATTTGTGATAGTTGATAAAGAAACTGTGTTTCAAAGCTATAGTCTTTATTACATTTTTCATTTGTGCATCTATATGATGGTGATGAGTTTGATAGAACACCACTTAACCATGATTGGTTATATGATAAAATCTGTGATATTAAATTTGATAAAAAACTATTATAAAAATTAATAATTTATAGTTAATAATTTATATTTTCTTTTTTTTTTTTAAATATAATAGTTACAATTTTGATTTTGGAGTATTATATACTGGTAAAAGTTCTCTTAAGTTTTCTAATAAAACAACATAGGTCTGTCTTTTAGTGCTTGGGTTTGTTAATGTATCCAACCATAATGGTTTTTCTAATCTTGGTGCTGTATAAAATTCTTTAATATAATATCTAAATTTTTCAACTTCTGAATATAATTGATTTATTTCTTGAGTCCCAAAGTTATTTAACTTTTTATAAAAAAAAAAAAAATTAATATCTAAATTTTATAAATAAACATTAGGTATCATATTATTACTCACTGAGCCGCTTTTTGGTAAATTTGAAAACTTTGAATATATTAAATTCTTTAATAGCTTTACAATAAATTTAATCCTCATATCAATTATTAAAAAGTGTGTTATTATAAACTGATGAAAATTTGAAACAGAGTCTAAATTTGATTTTTTATCGTTTGTTGGGGTTGCACCGTTTGTACTGCTGTTTGCATTGTTCATGGTTTTGAGTTGGTCGACAGTTGGTCCAAAGATTACACACATTGCAACAGTAATTTTGGTTACTTTTGGTTGTGATAGTGGCGATCTTGGTATTCTTCCGCCAAGTGAGGATGATGATCTGACCCTATTGACTCCATTAGTACCTGCATTATCTTTTGTTGATGTGGAGTTGTTGATTATACTAACATTGCTACAACTGCCACCACTAATGCTGGCTCTGTCATTGGTTTTATTACTATTTATATTACTATCGCTGCTATTGTTAAGAGTATTTTGTGATGCTAAATCAGTTGATGAGGTAGATTGTGGAATCTGAGATTTTTTTAAAGCTGGTGGTGTTTTGCTGCCATCTGATGATTCTGGTGATAGTAAATCGCAACTGTTATGTGGAGATTTTTCCTCTCTCTTTAAATTTAATGTAAATAGTTTCGTTAATAACATTTGCTGACTATCTGGTAAATAATGTATTTTTGTAGTTGTTCCCTGTATATTCATTGGTACTGTACCAAACATCATTTCTCTAAGCATATCAATTTTTCCTAACTGTAATGTAGGGTTAATTGGAAATTTGTTAGTTGGTTTATATATTAATAATTTTAATCAAATAATTGTTATTATTTACTCTTGGTGCACCTGGGGGTGTTGTGGTTGTTGGTTTAGTTGGACTTGGGGATGGGGTTTTATTTACAATTGTTGGGTTTCCATTTGTTAAAATTACTTTGGTTGTATTATTATTGGTTGTATTTGATGCCGCTTTGGCTTTTTTTAAATAATCTACTTGTAGTGTATCGAATAACAAAGTACTAGAATTTTGATAAACTACAAACCTAATTTGATCGTTGTTTATATTATGTTCAGGTATTTTACTATAAGAATAATAATAATTGGTAAATAAATACTGGTTTTTAATTTATATGTAATAGTAAATGGATGAGTGGGTGATAGGATTGTCTTACTTTTGTGTGGTATTTGTGTCTGATTTAAAAAATTTAAAAAAATCCATTCTAAAATGTATATGTATATATATAAATATGTGAAGGTTTTATATGAGTTATGTTATAAAGATCTGATATATTTATAATAGTATAGTTTTCTTTTTTTTATATTTTTTTATTGTTTTTTTATTTATACATGTGGAGTATTATATATAAATTATATAATATATATAGTTATATATATTAATACTTGTGTGTATAAAATAAAATTATCCTCCGATAGTAGGAACACAAAGTGTGTGATTATGAAAAAAAATTAAAATAAAAACTAAAAAAAAAAATAAAAAAAAATAAAAAAAAAAAAATAAAAAAATAAAAAATTAAAAAATTAAAAAATTTGAAAAAAAAAAAAAAGATATTATTCAAAAAAATAAAAAAATAAATAATTGAATGAAAAAATTATAAATAAATTTTGATGAAAGATTAAGTTTTTCAATTTTTTCTTTATCATTTCAAATTATAATAATTAAATAATAATAAAAATAATAACTTGTAAGTTTTTTTGATCATGATCAAAGACAATTGTTTATTCAATAATGATCAAAAACAGTATGAACTTTATTTATTATAATTTTAAGCTTTTTTATTTTTAAAAGATTGTTTATTTGTGTGTTTGTATTTAAAAAAAAAAAATTTGTTGTGGTAATTGGAACGCTTGAGTTAAGAATAGTTTAATTAGTGAATTGACTTTAAAACATGGAAATTTAATGAGGTTAGTATGTGAATAAGCCTTGCAATTAAATCTGGTTTACATTTTCTAAAGGTATCCATTTTTCTTCTTTCAACAACGATGGGATGCATGTAGAGATCACTTAGGTCTTCTGTTGAATAGTGTTCTTTTTTTTTGTGGTGTCTTAACAAAATCACCCACTTGTAGCTCTAATCAAAACAATTGGTACCAAATCTAAATAGTTCTATCATATTTCTATTAATTATTAAATTTATTGTGTTAAAAATATTTTAAAAAAAAAAAAAAATTTTAATTTTAATTTAATTTTTTTTTTTTAAATTTTTTTCATAGCATTTAATTTTATTTTTAGATATTTATTACCTTAAAATAAACAAAAGTTATTTATTATATTTATTAATATTTATTGGTTTTATATTGTTATAATAATATATATTTTTTTTTTTATTTTTTTTTTTATTTTACTAATTATTTATAAAAAAGTGTGTTTGTTATTATATTAAATTTAACTATAGGTTTTATTTTGAGTTATTAATTATTTATTTATAAAACTAATATATGTACTTCATTAGGCGCCAATAAATTATAATAATTCAATTTAAAAAAAAAAATAAAAAAAATTTTAAAAAAAATTATAAAAAAAATTAAAAAAAAAAAAAAATTTAATTTTTTCTATCTAATATTTTATTTTATTATAAATTATTTTAAACAAAACACATTATTTATTAATTTATTTATTTAATTGTTTATTTAGTTATAAACTATTCACAATTTTATCAAATCATAAAGTATAATAAAAAATAATAATTACAGAATAGTTTTTTTTTATTTTTTATTTTTTTTTAAATTTATCACAATTTTTTATTTTTTATTTTTTTTTCAGTAATATCATAGACCTTTAGTAAAAGTAAATTGTAGCAAGATTAGAAAAAATATTTATAATAAAAAATGGATATAATTTCAAAACCAGATGCTACAACTACATCTCTACATGAACAACAAACCCAACAACACCAAAATGCAGAGACAACACCAAATGAAAATATAAATTATAATAATATGAACGATAGTATATTAAAAAGTATTGTAATTCAAAACCCTAACGATGAAGACATAATAGATATAAACAATGTCAATATTTCTAATATAGATTTTAATAATAATAATATTCAAAACGATACTATAATTGATCATAATATAGATAAGCACGAAATAAGTTTAGGTACATATGAATCATCAAAAACAACAACAAACTTCTCATCCTCAGTTTTTACAACATCAACAACACAAACCACTAAATCAAAAAGAAACAGTGATGGTTTTGATAACAAAGAATTAAAGATAAATGATTTGGAAACAAATAATGTAAATAAAAGACACTCATTACAATTAACAAATAACTATGCATCAACTTATAAATCACCTTTGGATTCACCATCAAAAACCTTAGCCAGAACTTTTAGTATCAGTATAATTAATAGTGTAAAAAAATCTAGACCCTCTTCTCTTCAACTTCCAAATTCTAATATCCCATCCTCTTCATCATTGTCATCATCAACTAATAGCGGTGTCAATCCTCAAGAGACTGGAGTGGTTCCACCATCACCTCATTATACTGTTAGAAAAGATAATGCAGACATATCATTCCCATCTCCAGTAAAACAACAGCAACAACAAGATGATTATGAGCAAATTCAATATAAACACAATATTTCCTATGAAGAAAATTCTGATGTTGAAGAAAAGTTACAAAAAATAATAGACAATCCAGAAGGCCATCAAACACAACCAGAATTAGAAATCCTTATACAACAGTTGGTTCCAGGATTGGACCGCATAGGAATTTTATCTATAATAGATAGAATTAGTTGTGATGAATATGGAAATGTAGCAAATAATGAATTGATCAGTTTTATGGAAAAATATCATAATACAGATCTTATGGAAGATGTATTTGAAGATCATCCTATTAACAATTTAGTACATTATGAAAATGGTAAAAACTCATTATCAATACATCCAGAACCTAATCAAATTATTCAACAAAATACCCAACCAGCTCGATTCGGCCAATATTCAATTGCTTTAGATTCTGGTGATTTTGAAGGTGTCGGAACAAATGGTGCATTTAAACAATCTGAAGAAACCCAACAACTTCAGGATGAAATTAATCAATTAAAAAAGGAACTACAGAATTATAAAGATGTAAGTTTTTCCATATAAATAATAAATAATTAATAATAACATAAATCCAATATTAATTCTAATTTATTGTTTATAATAGAATGGAAATAATGAAACTGAAATTAGGGGTAGGTGTTCAAGATATGAAGAAGAAAATTCAAAATTATATTTAGAAATCAAGAAATTAGAAGAAAACGAGGCTAAATTTAGAAAAGAATTAACAAATTTAAAAGAAATTGAAAAGAAAAGAAAAGTTCAGTTTACTGATACTGAAGAAGAATACACAAAGAAAGAGAAGGAGTCTACAAAAAAGATGGATACTTTAAAATCAACAATATTGACATGTAGGTAATTTTATAATATTATAAAAGTTATTATCTTTAAAAATTATTATTTTAATATTAATTTAAATTTTATATAACATTAAAAGTAAAAACCTCAATTAAAGAGGAAAAAAAAAAAGTAGAAGATATAGAAAAAGAATCATTGTCAAAAATTAATGAATTGGAAAATAAACTAAGGGTTCAAACAAATAGATGCACATCTTTGACAAGGGAATATGAAAATTTAATTAGTCAAATTGGATTAGATAAAGAGGTGCAACAACAGCCACAACAACAGCCACAACAACAGCCACAACAACAGCCACAACAAACGAATGAATTACATTCAAATAAAACTATTACAAATATTCTCGATGATAAAAGTAATAATAACCCTATCATTAACCCCAATTCATCATCATCACTAAATGAATCGCTATTTAGACAATCTCAATTATTTGACCAAAAGAATTTTTCAGTTAGCAGCGACCAACTCCATAAAGAATTAATAAAAAAAATAGAAACTTTAGAATCAGAGAATTTATCACTTCAAGCTCAAAATAAAAAATTGGAAGATGAATATAATAAAAATAAACAAGATTTAGAAAACCAAAATAATGAATTAAAAACAACAATATCCTCATTAGAAACTTTAAACTCACACTTAAGACAACAAAATAGCGCAGATAATAATAGTAGTAGTAGTAGTAGTAGTAATAATAATAATGATATATCAAATGAAGAAAAATTAAAATATAATCAAATTTTAGAGCAAAATGAATCATTAAAATCCCTTCTCCATAATAAGAACGATCAAATTAAACAGCTAAATGAATTCAATGATGAAATGCAAAGAGTTGTTACCAATTCTTCAAATGATATGTCCCAATTCAAAGATAATATTGCCAATTTAATTAAAAATTCAATCGCAAATAAAAATGTAAAACAACAACAGCAACAATTACAAGAAAACAACAATAATAATACAAATGAACAGATTGAAGATAATGAAGAATTTGAAAATACCAATAATGATAAAAGTTTCTCAAGAAGATTGTTTAATAAACTTGAGTCTTTATTCGCGATAATAGGTTTAGTCGTATTTGTTTTATTTACAATTGCATTTATATCAAGATTAAATCAAAATCCATTTATGGAAAGACCAAATTAAGAAATAAATAAATAAATAAATAAATAAATTTAAATTTAAATTTAAAATAACAATAATAAAAATAGTTTTACAAAAAAGCAGTTAAATTTAAACCACTATATACAAAGTAATATTGTTATTAATAATAATCTTTTCAAATTATAAAAAAAAAACACTGTGAATACTATCACCACACTCACACTATACATAAATATGTACATGTTTACCAATATTTTTATTTTTATCTTGGGATATGTTAATCGAAATCATTTTATAGGAATTTTCATCGACTCTCAAAATAACTTTTTAACACTCCAAAATTCATTTTTTCTATTATTAAAAAAAAAAAAAAAAAAATTTTATTACCCCCACCAACAACAACTCACCCACACTTTCATTACTATTATATTATTAATAATTAAAAAAAATTTTAATTTATGTTTTTTTTTACAAATGATACATATTTTTATTCACATTATATTTTTTTTTCATATTATTTTTTATTTGTAAAAAATTTATATTTCTTTTTCTTTTAATATTTATTTTATACTTTATTTCTATAAAAATTTTATTTAATTATTATATAATAGATAGTTTTTAATAAATGGATTTCGATAATAGTAATAGCTTTATAAATTTAAAAAATAGCAATTATTTAATCGACGAAAATAAAGATATATTAGAATTTTACAATCAAAACCCAAATGGATTAATTACAAAAAAGCAATTAAAGCAAAATTTAAAAGAAATAATTTCAGATGATGAATTAATAGAGAGTATATTCAAAAACATACCATTTCAAAAAGTAGCACCAATTAAATTTATATATGAAGGCTTTTTAAAAGAGTATTCAAAAATATTTAAAGCAGAAGATAATAAGAAAGAAGAGTATAACGAAGTTGTATATGAAGAAGAAGAGGAGGAAGAAGATGAAGATGAAGATGAAGAAGAGGAAGAGAATTTTTGCCAAAAAGATTCAAATTCAAAAACTTCAATTGTTATATCCGCACATAATGACCAAATAGAAATAGAAAACAATAATAACATCAAATTGAACCTAAGCAACGAAATTAAAAACTATATAAAAGTAAATATATTTTTTATTTTTTATAAAAAATTGAAAATAAATATTAATTTTTTATGCACAGAATGAAAACGATTTAACAGAAAATAATTTAATATTAGAAGAAAAGGTTAAGAAATTAAAAATAGAAATTAAAAATTTAAAAGATATAGAAAAGAAAAAAAAAGAATTAGAAATCCAATTTGAAGAACTTGTAGAAAATGATAAAGCAAATAAAAAACAAATAAATGATTTAAAAAATCAAATAAATAATTGTAAATATTTTTTTAAATTTTATTTATATAACCAACATTTTATTAATTTTTTTTTCATAGTAAATAAAAAATTAAATATAGAAAAGGAAGAAAATTTTAAAATTAAAAAAGATAATTTTGATCTATCC